TTATTATTATTATTATTATTATTATTATTATTATTATTATTATTATTATTATTATTTGGTACTTAATCTTAGTTCATCGGAATTTGATATTCGTAAAATTAGTAGGATCGAATGATGATGAGACGATATTCTAATAAAATTTAACTATTAATGCTTGCTTCCAATGAAACATGCTGTATGGTGTTGATAAATTCTTCATGCTGATGCTTCAGGAATGCCTATATTGGAAGCCTTTGCTCAAGTAGAGCAACAGCGAAACATCTATGACGTTGTTCATGTCAAGTACTATGATGAGGTTTGGCTCGATGGCATTTTTAAATTGATCATCATGGTCTTGTATGCTGTAATTAGGGTTTCGTGAAAATTATTCTAGACATGCATGCCTATTGTCATTACTGTTACCTATTTTTGATTATCAAGTTGAAGATACTGTTAAATATTTAACCAATCTTATGGCTTTAGAATCATGAAATATTCCACTTGCCAATCTTGCACTTTTCAATGTGATGGCAGTTTTGGCTTGCTCTTGTGCATCAACATTGATGATTGTCATTAAGCATTATATTCTTCATTGTTTCTAGTTGTACTTATGATTGTGTTGTATTGTTATGATGGCGGTGGTTGTCATAATTTTGTTGTGTTTGCAATGACGATGGTTGTCGGTATTTTGTTATCATCTTAAATAGTTGTTGTTATACTGTTCACATCATTTAATTTTGTTCTTTTCTCCTTTTTGAAGTTACGAAATTTTAATTTGCGATAGTATTGCTGTCTTGCAAAACCTTAATAAACTTTCAGATTCAGTACTTTGGAGTTGAATTGTTTGATTTGTGTAGGCTAATTTTGGCAAATTGGATGAAGTTTTCAAGGTTAAAAGTTTAATTCTGACTTCTCAGCTTATGGAACTCATATGTAATTTTGTAATTGATGTTGTTTAACATTATTATCGTTACCTACAAATTTTTGGATTGTTTCCGAATGTGACATCCATGTACATGTCAGCTTTAGCGTAATTGGCTATAAAAGAATAATGTGGCCTCTTATTTTCATTACTTCTGCAGGATCCTTTGAGACTTGACATTGTTATTAGCTTCCCTGATCACGGTTTTCATCTTAGGTTTGATCCTTGGTCTCAGGTATTTATAAAGAATGACTTATATCCTTCTACGGTTTAATTGCTTGGTCTTTGTTTAGTTGTAGCTAAATAACTTAATCTATTGAATGTTATTAAATTTATTGGAATTTTTAATACTTGCGTGGCTGTGCCACACATCTTTTGTATTGGAGTTTGCTCTGTCAAGGCAAACAAACAAACATTGGTTCTTCTCTTAACAGCTTGCTTAATGAGATCATTAATCATGTATTAAGTGGCATATTGTTTTTGTTATTTTTGACCTTGTGATGAATATCAGAGGCTTCGTCTTGTTGAAATTTTTGATGTCAAACGGCTTCAAATGCGATATGCCACTTCAATGATCGGGTAGGATCTTGTGCCTCTGCCATTAAGATTCTGATAATTTTGGTTAAAGAATTATTTATTGACACAATTGTTACTGTCAGTGGACCATCTACCCTGGCAACTTTTGTAGCAGTCTATGCACTCTTTGGGCCAACCTATCCTGGAATTTACGACAGAGAAAGAGGAATATACACACTGTTTTATCCTGTATGTTCCATTGATATCTGATCAACCGAAAGATTACTTTTGCATTTTTTTTCCTGCCCATTGTTTCCTGGGGAGGTCTTGATTCCTTGAATTTTCAGGGCTTGTCCTTCGCATTCCCAATCCCCTCGCAATATGCAGAGTGCTGTTTTGACCGAGAAGGTATTTTTTATTTTGATAATTTCTTGTGTGCATTTGATAAAGTGATACAGAAGTACTTGATAGTCACTTATTGACTTTATCTGTGAAAGCCGAACTTCCCTTGGAGTTTCCTGATGGCACAACTCCTGTTACTTGCCGTGTCTCAATATATGATTCTTCAACCGACAGTAAGGTTGGGGTAGGATCTTCTATGGACAAGGCCCGTGCTCCTCCATTGCCTGCTGGCAGTCTCTACATGGAAGAAGTGCAAGTAAAGGTTGGATTACTTGTTTCATTGTGATGATTCTGTAACTGGCAAATTTCTTCGTGTTTCTTTGAGCTTTATCTATAAATATGAATCCACCTTTATGAAGGCAGTACCCATTCTTATATATATATATATATCCGTGTGTGAGTGTTTCATTTTGAATCACTCTGTACATCCTCCTAACTTTAACTTTCACATTTTCTTGGTGGTTTACATTTCAGAGGAAAGAGCATTTGTTGATGCAAATGTGTTTTTGTCACCTTATAGTAATATTTTCTATCATCTTAATCCTTAGCTCATACATCCTCCTTTCTTTTATGCCCAAACCTTGTATGGCCTCCTATTGCTCTTGAAGTAGTTGCACCCAAGTTTGGCCTGGATAGTCAGGTGGAAATGATGTCCACCATTGTGTGGCATATATACGTAGTTGCGAGTTGTGAAATGTTAAAGTAAAACTAGGAGGAAGAAAGAAGGGTATAAAATCTACTAATTGATTCATCATCTGAAATTGTATTCTAGAGAAGAAAGGAAATGAAATTAGGAGTTCACAATTTTCATTCCCTTCCATTTTATAATTTGTGCTCACAACCTTCTCTTGATTCTTGAAATTGTAGTCAATTAAAATTTCACTAATGGTTGAGATTACCTGTTGCATCTTAACTTCAATCATCTTCTTTTATTTCCAACACAAACTTTGATACGACCTTCTCTGTTTTCGACTGATGATTCCAGAAGATCAAGGATTAACTTCAGAAAAATTTGAACTTCACACTTTACTGAAAATAATATTCATAAGACCATGCCATATTTTAATATCTAAAAGTCGTTGGTATCTGTCAAATTGTAGGAAATTCTGAACTATTACTAAACATACAAATAAATGAGCAATTTGAGAAACAAGTTGTTTGTTTATGTTCAATTTTTTGTTAAAGAGTTGCTTGTTTCTCTCTTTATAAAAGTTGCAGTGAAAATGTATGAATTTGACCCAATCATTTTCTATCTCCAGCTTGGAGAAGAATTGTGGTTTACTGTTGGGGCCCAGCATATCCCTTTTGGTGCATCCCCACAGGTATGATTTGTTTGATATTTCATTTACACGAAACATACAAATTTTTCTTTTTTCTTTTTTTTTTTTCCCTTTTATAAAGAAAAGAAAAGAAAGAAGGAAAAAAAAGACACTGAGCTCTATTCCAGTAAAATTATTGATATCGTTGTCATGGTGGGTGAAATTCTTAAATATTAGAGCAGTGTGGTGTGTTTATAATTTAAAAGAATTGAACTTCCCTATGAACATTCTGATCATGAAGAATTAATGATTTTTACTATTTCCAAGGAAGGATAAGAAAAAGGAACTTTGTATTCTGTTGGTATTATTCTAATCTGAGATGTATTTTCAATTTTTTTCTCTACCAACTAGTTTCATTAATGAAAGTTCCATGTACTTTTTGTGATGCATTACTTTGGTTCTGTGATGCATCACTTTATGAACCAAGGTTCCAAACGAGAGAAAATGAGGTTGAATTATTTGGAGTGAGGTGAGAGACCTCTTTATTTGTTATTAAACTCTGCAATTTGATTCCTTTTTGCTCTACATGTATAGCTCATCTTCTCCTCTATAATATGTATGTTCTGTTTCTCTTTAGAACATTGGCGATCATTTGACAGGCTACACTGAGGAAAAATATAGAATTTTTATTTTCTGTTTGTAAGCTGTGCATGAGTTTTTATCATTAACATTTATGTTTGGTCCTTTTCAATTCAATCAGTTTAATAGCGCTTGAAACATAGTTAACATTGGCCGTTAAACTGTCAGCTTCTCCAAATGATGCCTTTTTTCTTCTGCTTCCCTAACTTGATTTTGGGTTAATGGGATCAAGATCTCTGTTTTCAAACCTAACTACACGTTTCTGCATGTTCTTTTCTTCTTCCAGCTGTCACATGCAGGCACATACTGTAATTGCTTGTCTAATCAATTTACAATAGCACTTTAGATTTTGCTGTTCATGCAGCCATGAATTATGTTGCTTGGGTCTTAGTCTTTTGCCTTTTTTGTTTGGTTCCTATTAACCTTAATGAACCACAATATCCATCTTCTGGACAAGTGCTAATTGTTCCTGGAACCTGATCTGCCTGATATTTTGCGGTTCCTCTGAGTATGTTTGCAGTTGTTTGTTACCTTGTAATTGAACTTTTAATAAATTTGCACCTTCAATTTAAAATCCTCCTTATGGTGTTATGCTGATGATTTGGTGTTTATTTCTTTTGTTTTCATATTCTATGTAGGATGTCTGGACTGAACTTGGACGCCCTGGTGGAATTCATCAAAAACAGGTGTCCCCTTCTTTGTCTTCGTTTACAAGCTTTTGAAACATTTGCTAGGGATACTATCTGTCAGTATTGTGTCCATGGGGTTCTGGTTGTTGAACTGTGATGGATTGACCTTGTGAGTTGCACAGGTGGACCAAATGGTAATTCATTCTGCATCAGATCCTCGGCCACGAACTACTCTCTGTGGTGATTACTTCTATAATTACTTCACCCGTGGCTTGGACATATTATTCGATGGGCAGGTATCCAATTTTTTCCTTTATCAAATTCACTACTATTTGCATTAGTTTGTTAGTTTGAAGTTTTCATGTTGTGCTGAATTTACAGACACATAAAATCAAGAAGTTTGTTCTGCACACGAACTATCCTGGACACGCGGATTTTAATTCATACATGAAGTGCAACTTCGTAATATACAGCTCTAACTGTAAGTTCTTTTCCATCTTTAACTGTTGTGGTTGTCTAGGAATTTTTTGCTTATGGTTGCAAGTTTCTCAATTGAAATTCCTGCAGTTGGTGGGTCGTTTCATAATGATGTGAATGGCTCTAAAAACGCCATTACTCCTAGCACAAAATGGGAGCAAGTTAAGGTGATGTATTCTTAACACATTTTGATTTCGTATTTTGATTAACCCAGCTACCAAGTTGAAGTTAGTTAAAACAAGTTTTTGCAGTGTGGGTATGAATGTTTAGTTATCTAATTATGGATTACTGAAGCAAAGTATTTTTGCTATTGTTTCCTTCATGTCTTTCTTACTACAAATTCTCTGAATTGCATGACATCTTTGACTTTTTGATTTTGAGTGAGATACTAAGCTGTAGGTGTTGAGCTTGCGTTATTTCTTATTATTATTTTGTTTTGAAAGGAGTTATGGATATCATAATATGCAGGAGATTCTTGGGGATTGTGGTCGAGCTGCTATCCAAACTCATGGCTCTACAAGCAATCCTTTCGGATCTACTTTTGTATATGGTTACCCAAATGTTGCCTTTGAGGTGCATAAATATTGAATTTTGATTTTTTTTATTCGATTTTTGGTCATCGAAGAAACTCATGTGGTCCTATATGCTCATTTTTTGCTAGTTCCTTTTGCTTTTCATAATTATAAGTCATTTCTGATGTTTACAGGTCATGAAGAATGGTTACATTGCAACTGTAACTCTATTCCAGTCATGATGTTGTACTGTTGGTAACCAGGGTATATCCCTCCCTCCAATTCAATGTTTCTTAGTATTCTAGTAGAATTCTATATTTCTATCCTTCACTGTTTCGATTGAATTAAATCATGAAATAAATGCTGCCCTTGTGAAAGGCCTTGATTTTTGCATTCCTTGTGGTACTAATTGTTCCCGAAAGTATGGCAGTATGGCACTATACTATCACTGCATTTTGACCATGCCCCTGTTTGACTCTCTTTAAATTAAAATTATTTATTTCTTATACTCATTTTCAACTACACATTTATACAATAAAATATTTTGCAGGTAAATTCAAAACTTTTTTCTACTTTTTAACTACACATTCTTCAAAAAATCTGGTCATCAAACAGGGGCTTAATAGGTGAAGTGAAATACGATGTCTTAGGTAAAGATGTGTTTCTAATGACCTACTCAAATACCTTCTTCAAGGGTTGTACTTAAATGAGATGATTAAGTTCCACTGCACAATAAACAGTTTTCTACTTTGTAGTGCTTGCATTAGATTTTTTTACGAAGGTTGTTTCTTGTTATTTTCATGATTCTATTGTTAGTGGTGTTTATTATTCTAAAAACATTATACTTAGGATGATCTAATTAAGCCTTTGTGCTGGCTGTTTGTGTACAGGCACTGGTTGTTGGATGAACATTCTTGTCACGATTTCATGATAGGAAGTGTTCCTGTACATTTACCGTTAAAATTGTAAACTTGTGTGTAAATTTCGTGAAATGTGAGTTACAATCTTCTGTACAGTAAAACTGATACAGCATGCTGTGGTCTGAAATGTCATCTTCGCTTTCTTTGGTTGACAGGCTCTTTTCACATAAACCTTTAGCTAGTGCTTTGTATGAACCAAGTGAGTATTTGAAATTAGTCAAACTAAAATCGTCGGAATTGGACTTTTAACCTTGCATCGTGTGAAAGGTAGCGGGATCGAGTCAGAGTGCATAGTTAGTCTTGAATGACGTACTGAGAGAATGCTATAGGCATTGCATGCAAGGACCCAAGACAATATGGGTGAGCTTGGGTTGTAAACTTGATGCTAATTGTATGCACGTGGGGTCTTTCTTTTGACAAAATAATACAGTACTTGGTGATTTTTAACTTTTAGATGCATACATTGGAGAACAGGTGACGTAAATACTCATTTTTGGCATTTGTTTAGCTTTAAGAATAAAGTTGTCTTAAATTTATGAGCCATTTATGTAGCGCTCCGAGTTCTGTTAATCCGGATTGCCACGTCATCATCTTTTGCCCTAATTTTGTCAATCAATTTTGCGAAAATAACCTAATTTTTAAAATCACATTTTGCAATTGAAAACTACTTCGGCAATTAAAATACGGTGGATAATTGTTCAAAATTTAAATATCTTGTTTGGAATTGCGGAAACGAA